TGATTTAAGCGCTATGCTGTGACAGCAAGGGAACACAAAAAATAACCTCACTGTAAAAGCTAGACACTGTACTAGGAGAGAGATCAGCAGGAAAAACTTGAGTTCAAGTTTTTCATAGGAGGAAATGTTCAGTCAGTGGTGAGAACAGATGAAGAAAACCATTATCATATTTAAAAGAAGTAACATAGATGTATTCTAAAAACAAAGATACAGTCAGTGTCAACATTTTGTCAGTGATTAAAGTCAAGAACAAGTTTTATATTACATCCATAGAAAAGAAACTGCCTGTTTTTAGCCTTGGCTATAGAGTAAAGAAAAGCTTTTGTTCTGTAGCCAGAAATTCAGGCGCAGACCTTTAATCGAATGTAGAGGTTCTTAATAGGTAATTGCTCCAACCGTAGGCTAAGACTGAAGCCTCTAAAAGACCAACTCATTGAAAGAAGGTTGATATAAGAAGCCTTCTGACCAGCCTCAGTGATGGTTTTAAATTACACTCCACAATGCCGTGGCTTAAAATGAAATCTGGCTCAGCCCCCTACAGACAAGCTGCAGTTCAGTGGGAGAGAGTTGGAAGATACTTTTAAGTATTTTGAGCTTACTTTAGGGGATCCAAGTTTACATTTTAATTAATAATGTTCAGTTAGATTTCTTTGAAATAACACATTGACAAGTTTTTTTGTATTATATTCAGAAAATTTCACACAAATGTTCCAGGAAGTGTTAAGTTAGAGTGATAAAACTTTATTTCTCCATACTTGGTAGTTATAACAGTTGTTTCTGGAATATTTTAACAGAGGTTGTGATATTTTCTAGTAGAATGATGATTGGGTGGGGTTCTATCACAGATTGTGGAAGGTTAGTAGATGGTAAATGGGCTGTACTTATATAGCGCCTTTATCTTACCAAGATACTCAAAGTCTTCACAACACAATCGGTGCCCTCGTTTACCCATTCAGACAGCACTCTACTAGATCTGTACAAAAACTAATCAGTGCTTTAGATCACATTCATACACTGATGGGACACACATTGGAGGCAATGAGGGGTTCAGTGTCTTGCCTAGGGACACTTCAGCATGCAACTGCTAATGGAATCAAACCCCCAACTCTTGCATTGGAGAACGACTGCTCTAACCACTCAGCCACAGCCGCCACTTTAGTGAAAGAGTCTACCAGGCACATTCTCTGGGGTCCCAAGAGTCAAGTGAGTTTCACCTGTAAAATGTCATTGAAAATGTAACTGGACAACAGAACCTTAAAATGATGAAAGTGGTGTAAAGTTACAACAATTTATGAGGAGGAAAAAGAAACAGAGACTCCTGTGGTCAGTGTCGCAGTCTTGTAGTCCTGAGCCTGCAGGTTTGAGCCCAGGTTTCATCAGGTAGGGCATCCAGTGTCCTACCTGATGAAACCCAATGAATTTGCTCTCTGTGGCAACCCCTGCAAAAGAAAACAGCTCAACAACACGTGGAAAAAGAAGGAACCATAAAAACATGCATAACTACAGGAAGTTGCAGACTCACAACGTAACCAGCACAAAAACCACAAAAACTGTCAAGAGGCACAATGACTACAGAGTATGTATGGCTACAGATGCAGAAATGATTAGAGAAAAAAAGGGATAGAAAGGGATGTTAAAACATCTACAAGAAAGGTCACGAACAGCCAAAAAAATATATAATCAGCCACAAACAAGCTTAAAACCAGAAACATGCAACTAAAGGATGCTAAGAGTCCTCACAGACATGCTAAACAGATAAAAACAGGCATATAAACAATCTCTTAACTATTAATGATTTATGCTTACGCAATCATTTCCGTAGGTACTATGAAAATAGTTGAAATTAATTCTCCAAAATACACAAGTAAATACCTGGACTTTTAAGTTCAAGGTTCTTTGTCATTAGCATCACATGTGGCACATGAAATGGAATGAAATTGTGTACCCAAGCTCCCACTTACACCCAAAAATAGCAAAAATATTAAATATAAAAAAAGACAATTTATAAGGATCTAAGATATATGCTAAACACTAATAATGTAAACTAATACGGTATACAGTAGCCCCTCGTTTATTGCGGGGGCGATAAGTGAAAAACCGTGACGTTGGACCAGTAGTACAAGTAGTAAGTATATATATACATATATATATATATAT